CTTCATATGACATGACTCCTTGCAATTGTAGCAATGAATTGTCTTTTTGTCTTTTGACTTGGATCACTCTTTCTCTTTCTTCATCCCACGATCATGTTTACCCTTAACATATAAGTTGTCTCCATAAGAGCTTTCCCCTTCATTCTACTTCCGTTGATTGTGAGCCAACAATACTGCAGTGATCTCATCAACTTTGATAGTTTCTTTCACATATGTAAGAGTAGTCACCAGGTGTTCATAGGAAGAAGGCAGTGAACACAACAAAATCATTGCTCGGTCTTCATCCCCAATAGTCACTTCAAGCCGTGATAAATCTGTGATTATTTGATTGAACCATTAACATGTTGCGCTAGATAAGAACCTTCTTGCATCTTCAGCACATACAACTTCTGCTTCACATACAATTTATTTTTTAGAGATTTAGCTATAAACTGAGTTTCCAATTTCTTCAATATCTCCCCTGAAGATTTTAGATTCATCATGTGGTACATAACTTCATTTGTCAGGCATAAGTGTATAGTTATTGTCGTTCGTTGTTGCAATTCTTCCCAATTTTCATCCTCTATGTTTGTTGCCCGCAAAGCTTTAACTGTTGAGACAATAGATTTTTACTTTTGTTTGCCACAATCCGAAGTTACCAGTTCCATCGAACTTCACCACCTCAATTTTCGCATGAGAAATTGTCATTTGAAATTGATCCTGCAACAAAATTATTCTGTAAATTCTTCTGCAATTGTTTGTTCAGACTCTTTCTAAAAAAAATTAAAAAAATTTCCTTAATTAAGTTTTTTTCAGAAAAGCAACAAAAAATTTTTTTTAAAAGAAAATATTAAAATATTTTCTTAATTAAGCTTTCCTAATTAAGTCTCCATTAAATAAAATATTTCCTTTAATTAACTAAATTTCAAAAACTTTCCTTTTTTTTCAGCCTCCGCGCCTTCTAGATTTCTCCCCAGCAACAAAAGGAATAAAATCAGAACTTTCAATTTCCTTCTCCACAGCCGCCTCCCGCAAATGAATGAAATCAGAGCAAAAATTTTCTTGCGCCTCCAACAAAGGAAACCGCCTTTCGCAGCCGAGATTTCCTTCCTCCACAAGCAGCAAATCATCTGAATCAACGAGGGAACAAATTGGTTCGCAAATCTTCTGCCTCACGGCAAGGAAATTTTGCAAATCAGAAGTCGAAATCGCGAAACCGCCGAAAACTTTTTTTTTTATCTATGTTGAACTGCTCCTAGCCTCCAAATCGATGAATTTGTTTGCAGCCAAGGAACCCTTCGCCGAACTTGTTTGCCAAAACGACAAATCCTCCTTCGCCCTGCGCTGATCTCTTCTCTACCCTTGAACCTCGCTTTGATACCACTTGTTGAGAAATTAGGGCAAAGAAAAACAGTAATCTACACAAATCCAGAAGAACACAAAGAGATTTAACGAGGTTCGGCAAAGATGTCTACGTTATCGGGAGCAAAGCGGCGGCTTTTCACTAATCCAGAAAAAAGTACATGATATAGAATATGGGATAACACCTAGGGTTACATACAGACTTCTTTATAACCCTAGAAAACCTTGGAGTACAATATATAATTATCAAATTACCACTGTACCTCACCCTCAACCCATATAAGCAAACTCCCCTGATTTACACAGAATCTTCTGATCCTCTCCAGAATCCGTCCCTCTATGGTATATGAGTCATATCTAACATATACATCATGTACAAAAAGAAATTGAATAATAAAAATTTGAGGAAAATGGGTATAATGACAAGAATCCCCTACTATGTGAAAATATTCCATCAAACAATGAGTGAATAATAACGAAGATGAATGGGATCGCACGAAAGTAAAAACAAAAAATTTGAACATTCATTTTGTTGATGTAGATAAAAACAAAGCTATTGCATCAAGCACAAGACAACACTAGATAAAAAGAAGAAATATCGATAAAAATTTTTACCATTATAAGTTGTCCAAAATTTTAATTAAAATTTTATTTGTTTGTTGATTCTTATTGAAAATATAAGAGAAAAATACCTAAGGGTGATGAAGAAGATGAAGAATAGGAGAAACTAGACTAAACTATAAAAAAAAAGTGCATTATGGTGACAACTCGAAGGAAGACTTCTTGAAAGATGAGAGCACCGCAAATTTTTTATTATCTATTATATTTTTATTATTGTGTTGGACAATAAAAATGAGGGAATTTCATTATGTCTTGCTTTGTTTTGATATTTTTTTGGTTACTTTCATTGATGATTTACATTGGTTTGATTCAATTGATATTTATACTATACTTTTGATTTTGTTGATATTTATACTACACTTTTGATTTTGGCAAGTTGATATATGATACTTTGTGGCTTACATAATCTTTTATTTGATATAGACATAATTTGTCACTTCTAATATGTTACAATGTTGTATATTTTTTCTTTAATGTATTTATAAGTTATAATGCTAATATATTAAGATATATATATATATATATATATATATATATTACTCTAACTCAATTTTCAAATTGTGAGACTTGCACTTCAAAATGTCTCAGGGCTTATGCTTCATTTGACGAGCAAAAATACACCAATATCTACTTGCACAATTTTAAATATCGATATTATCTTCTATTGAAAGGATTTCTTTGAGTTTTGTAGCTTCTAATGCAGCTGAGTTTTCCCTGCTTCAACGATTATTGCATTTTGTGGCCCTCTTATGAGTAGGGTTGTTCACGATATGATTTTGAGTCGAGCTGTGGTATTCTCAAATAGATTTAATGCGGCTCAAAATCTGCTCGTGGATCGTTATATTTGATTTTGATCTGAGCTGACTCGAAATTGAATCGTGCTTAATCCGACGCAAAATCCAAACGAGCTCACCGGAATTGAGTTATTTGGTTCCTTTCTAGCTCGAAACGGCTCGATCCGACTCAAGATTGAAATTAACTGACTCAAATTGAGTTATGTGGATCTATTCCAGCTCGACATTGGCTCTTGACTCATTATATTTAATTTTACTTAGTATTATATATATCATTGTTCAAAATAAGAAAATAATACAATCCAATTTCAAATCAGTTCGAGCCGATCCTTGTATGGCTCGAAATCAGCTAAAAAAAATTAGATGCAAAGTTTCAGCTCATCGTTCGATCCGAGCCAAAATTTGACTCAATTTTCGAGCGATTAACGATCTTCGAGCTAAATTCACAGCCTTAAATGTGCCCTAGTTATGAGAGTCCAACTTAAATTTCCACTTCTTGCAAAAGTCAACTTTCCCAGCTCATTAGGAGGAACATCTGATAGATTATATAATTACAAATAGAGTTTAAAGGCATGAAAAATTGCGGTTAATTGCTTGAAATGAAATTTCTAGTTGGGTGTGTAGACTTCAAACCCATCCCAACCAGATTCAACACAAACATTTCTCACATTTTCAAACCCTAACTAGACTACAAAAGAAATAGGGAAGTATTTCAACCCCAATACCCCAACAACCATGGGTGTGCATTATTTCGTCAAAAACCAAAAACCAAACCAAAGAAGTTTTGTTGATTCGGTTCTGTTTCAAAAATGCATTTTGGTATTAGTTTTCAAAACTTAAATATTTGATTTTCAGTTGTTGATTAGGTTTTAATTTTCATTCAGCCAAACCAAACAAACCGAAAATTTGAAATTTTGAAACTCAAACAAGCGGTTATGAAATTAACTTGATATTATACATGTAAGGTATATAATTATTGATGTTTGTTCATAATCGAACTAATAACTAACAGCAAAATTCAGGTTTGTTCATAACTGAATTGTTTAAACCGAGTTAAATTTCAGCTCAATCTGTTCAATTTTATCAAATATTTTGAACACTTCAGTCTTTCGGATGTCAAATTATAGTTACAATCAGATTGACCAACTTAATAACCGATACATCCAAGCCGGCCAACAACCAGTTTATGAATAGCCAGGCATCTTTGGCTAGATCTACTCTATTATGTTAGCTGCCAATGGCACGTCAAAGAAAAAATCAGATATGACCACATACAAGATTTGAAAATCAAAGAGAAAGGAAGAAAATATCTATACTGGATAAGTTAAGCTGCAGAGCAAAAATGCAGGATCTTAGAAGCAGAAGTACTAATGTGCAAGGTTTACCTTAATTCACAATTTCAATAAACTGAGAACAAATCAATCAATCCCAAGATCAAATTAAATTTATATCATTGCATGGATATGTTCATAGCAAACTCGACTAAGGGCTAAAGCTAACATGTAACTCGTACCATCATAAATGGAGAAGAATTATCTCAATTTTAATTGTGTTCTTATTTTTTTTTTCAAATTTAGATTAATAGTACATTCAATTTGGGGATAACAGTCCCAAGCTACAGCAATTTGCTGTTGGTTATGAGCGAAATTGAAGTACATACTGTCAAATTCATTCAAAAAAGAAATCATTAGAATACCTGAAAATTATAAGTGAAATTGCAGTACATCATCTAGTTACGAGTGAAATCAGCATACACTATGGCACTAGAGTTCACATGATGATGCTAGACATTGCAGGCCTTCGAACAAAATGAAAATTTTAATTTCTAATAATAATCCCAAGTGGCTAAAACGTCAAAAAAGTAAATGCGATGTGAACTTAATAATGTATTCAAACAATAGTAACCAGCTACAACAGCAATCAGATTAGAAATTTAAAGCAAACATAACAATTAAACAATTCCTCATCGCTAGTGGTTACATATATAAAATGTGAAAATAGCATTTTCTACAACTATACCAACATAACAATGACAAACACTATTGTAACCTTGATAATCATACTGAAAGTGTTGTGAAAAAAGCTAGGAAAGTACTTCAACATGAATACAATGAAGTTCTGTGAAAATTAAGATTGCAGAGATTCCAGGATTGTTTTCAAACTTCATGTTCTACCATTGGAGAAGAAAAGAAAGTCACTAAAACATAAATTTCATGAATAACAGACATCATAATGGCAATGAAAATAATTCCTGTCGATGAATAATAAAAAATTGGACAAACCAAAAAATATCTACCTCAACGTAGTCTTGCTTTACAGAAAACATGCTAATACAACATGTTGGCTAGTTTAGTATAGCATCATACTTGCACTATCAGATGCAAAAATACACTGAAGATAACGATGTAAACCAAGCTAGGGATCAGTTTCAAGGCTCTTAGAATTCAGAGTAAAGCATGTACACTTATCTTTAATGGCTTCCATCTCGTTCCCATATTCTTTGAACCTATATTCTTCCTGTTTGAAAGCAGAGGGCACCTTTCCTTCACTGTAGCAACGGTTACAAAGGCTAAAATGTTGTCTTGCCTCCCTGAATCTAGATCCAATGATTGGATATTGGCATATGGAGCAAGTATGCTTGCCATGACGTATTCGATCACCTGTTTCAAGCTTAACCAATGTGCTTAAAATTCCAAAACCCCAATCTTGGTCATTGAAAATCTCAAGAAACTCACTATAGGAGATCATAGAGGGATCGGATCCTCCATGCAGCTCCATCATGTCACTAATACCATGAGAAGGGATATACACAGCTCTCAACAGCTTGATATATTCAATGGCATCACTTCTTCTGATCAGTGTTCCCCTGCCCTCATTGGTCTGCCGCCATAAGAGAGCCTCAAACACTACCCTTTTCCTCCTATCAGTTGGACCTGAGCAAATGGGAGCAATGACAGCAAAGAACATTCCCAAATCCACACGACCAGAGCATGAAGCATCCATGATAGATAAAATCTTCTCATTGACTGCCTTTACAGATCCCTGAAAAGTTTCTGCCTTCAGAAATTGAAGCAGCTTTTGCAAGATCATCTCTAACCCTGCCTTTCTGATAGATTTTACAGGAGCACCAGTACCAGAATAAGATAAAGGAACATTAGTCTCACTCATTTCCTTCTTCAATTGTTCAATGTCACAGTGGTCTAATCTAGTGAGCCTCTGGAAAGCTCTGATCTCTAAAGCATTTGCAAGATCCTGCCTCAGAGTTGTTTTCCTCCCGATTCTCTTGAATTTTGAAGCTTCTACCACGAGAAACTCCCCCTCCCCATCAACAACACCACCACCTTTTCTGTGCTTCTTCTTATGAAGCATCTTAAGATGAGCAATTGCATCATAAACCTCCATCCTCTTGGTCATCTTGAATGCCTCCTTAAGAGCTTTATTGGCCTCCTCATTTTCGCTAGCACCCAACAAAGCTACAGCCTTGTTAAGCTGGGCCCTCCAACTATTAGGTCGAACAGCCAAAACCCTAGTGTACATCTCCGACGCCCTGGCAAACCTCCCAGCGTCCATTAACAAGCCCCCAAGGTTATACAGCGCATCTACATGCCCGGGTTTGAGATCAATCGCCTTCTGAAATTCTTGAATTGCTCGCTCGTCCTCACCCATCGCATGCAGGGCGGAGCCTAGGTCACAGTGGGCATCAGCATAGTCAGGACGGAGAAAGACAGCTTCTTCAAGAGCCTTCTCGGCGGCACGGTACTCGCCCACTCCAAAGAGCGCGCTTCCGAGTAGTTTCAGAGCACGGAAATGAGTGGGGCAGAGAATAGCAGCCTCACGATAATGCTCGCAGGCGTTCATCACCATGCCCTCTCCTTCGAGCGAGATCCCAAGGTTCACATGGATCTGGGGTAAAAGCTGCGCACACTGATTCCCGCTTGCCTCCGCAGCCTCGAGAGCGAGCAGAAACTCCTCCTTCGCTTCACCGTGACGGCCTAGGGCGTAGAGCGCGGTGCCCGCGCGGAAATGGGGGCGGACGTCAGTGGGAACAAGCTCGCAGGCGCGGCGGAAGCTGTTGAGCGCCTCGCGGAAGAGGTGGTGCTCGTAGAGGGATCGACCAATGGCCATGTGTGCGTCGAAAGCCTCGTCACGTCCAGTGGCATCAGCGCGGCCGCGGAGCGCGGTGAGCTCCTTCACAAATAAGGCGTAGTCTGCGCTAAACTCGTCCCAATGAAACCGCCGTTCAGCGTGATCGATCTCCCGCGACCATCCTGCCTCGGAAAATGAATCGAAGTTGTTATTGCCGTTGTTGTTATCGGTACCGGATTTCTGAAATTGCTTGGCTCGAAGGCGCTTGATGAGCATTTCTAGGTCATCGAGAAGTGGCCAGGTGGAATCGAAGGCGATGCCGTGATTAGGTGAAGAAGAAACCCAGGGGGCGGCGGACGATCGCTTTGGAGGAAAAGAGGTGTCGACGATGGAGGAGGTGGATGGGTCATCTGCGGCGGCGGCGTGAACTGTGGCGGCCACCGAAGCCGCGGAGGGAGAGGATGGGGAAGGGGAATGAGGGAGAGAGAGTGATAGGGCATCGAAATCACGGTCGACATCTCCTGCGCCGTCGTCGTAGGTGCGGAGGAGGCCATGGAGAGTGAGGCCGGCGGGTTGATCGATGAACTCGGAGTAGGTGCGGAAAACCTCGTCGAGGATGGCGGAGATCTGTTCTTCGGAGAATTTCACGCGAGGATTTACGGCCACCACAAGCGCCGCCATCTCTTCGCGATTCAATCCACCGTCAGTATTGGAGTCGAATCTCTCGAAGATGCGTCGGACCTTCTCGGCCCGCAGATTTCTCGCTGCCGAAGAGGACATCTCTGTCACCGCCGACCGCCGCCGCCGCTTGTCCGTTACCTCTTTTGCCTCTGTGGCAAAGCGCTGCCCTTTTCACCCTTCTGCCATGTCGCTTTCCAGTTAGCGGGCGGCGGGCGATGATAAGGCCAAAAAAAGGAAAAAAAAAGTAATGGTTGCTGAATAATTAAAGAATGTAACGGAAATTTATTTGTTAAATACTCTTCTAAGGAACATTAATTGTAATAATTTAAACAATTGCTATTATTAATTTTTTTGTAATTAATGTATTATTATTTGATGTATTTATCAATAGGGTAGTCTGTCAAGTTGCCATGTCAGGTTGCCTTGTGCTCCTCTTAACAGGGTCTAATTACTGCGTGCGGAGAGCGCACGCACAGCCGCGATGACAGTGAGTTCACTGTCATACAGTCGCGATGCGCGGCTATGATCAGAGAGCGCACGCAACTCTGCGTGTGTTCTCCGCACGCAATAATCGTTCCTTATCATGGGGGCAGGATCAAGTCATGTCTAGAATATAATTATTTTTTTAAATTTATAATTTCTTCATGTAAATAATAAAATTTAATGTATATATTTTACTTATGTAATTTAAAAAAATTAGTAATTTGTGTGCGCCCATGATAAATTTTTCTACCAAATACTTCAAAAAAAGTAGACATTATGATGGCTGCTCTACCCTTGCATCGAACGTTACCTTACATACTTGATGATTTGATCTATTAAGATATCTTGTCGGGTTGTAAAGCTCGTCTACTAACATGCTTAAAAGTCTAGAATTAGACCACCACTCTCTTCAAGAGGGGGGATTGAGAACAAAAGGAGAAGGCTGAAGGGAGAAGATTCTTGAGTTTCAATGCTCATGGATCGTCATTGTTGGGTCGCCGCTACAACTGGATCACTGCTTCTCCGCCACCATCGTTGCCCTTTTGGACCATTACTACCTGGCCACCCAACCCCCTTCCATCTTCACACAACCAACATCGAGCCACCATTGTCGTTTCAAACTCCTAACGCCAGACCATCACCACTATGTTAGACTGTAGTCACTGAGTTGTCGTTGTCACCAGGCCACCAACACATGACCATTATTAGGCCACCATCACCATGTTAAACTAAAGTTGTCAGGATGACCATCACCCAACTGATGACTAGTTGATGCCAATATTAGGATGCTATCATCTGAGCACATCCTTCATGTCGAACCTTTTGTGAAAAAACCATGACAATAAAGCAATAAATTGAAACAAAAAATACACAAAACAGAAAACACAATGGAGCACACAAATTTACGTGATTTAGCAAATTGCCTATGTCCACAGAGTTGCAGAGGATTTAATTAGCTTGAGGATTACACTCATCTATCGCATCGACGATTACAAGAAAGAGCTCTCTCTCTCTCCTCCCTTCTCTCTCTACCTGCAAGCCGCACTAACGAAGTAACAAAAAGAGAACAGCTTGCGATTTCTTTCTTCCCTTAGACAGAGCATCGAACCAACACCAATGGAGGAAGCTGTAGAATGTGATTCATTTCCCTGTAAAACCAACGCCCGAGAGAGATTACAAGGGGCATGCCTATTTATTAATTTCACATGCTATTAGGCCCACTAAGAAATTAACCAAATAATTAATGAAGCTCATTATTTATTTTTTGTACTCTTCTGCAGCAAATCATAAATGGTTGGATTCATGAAAGGAAAGTTGTAAAAGATTTTAGGGAAGGAATTAAGAGCAATTAATTTAGCAATTCATTTCGAGTATCCAATCCAATTTGCTGCCAAACTTGAGAAACTGTCAATTTGAACAGTGGACCGGTTTCCATTTTAGCAACAAATCTCCCACTTGAAGACAGGTACACTAGTTGCATCATCCACTGGTTACATTATCGTTTTCTTCAAATGTGATATCCTCCACCTCTACAACTCAAAGCTCATTTTCTTCACGTCAGAAGACCAATTGAAGTCAAGCACAACTTCAGTTTCTCAAGAGTAACACCCTTAGTCGACATATCAGTGTCAACATAGTCTTGTACCTCCAAGCTCTTTCTTGGGTTACTCCTGTATCTTATTACAACTTCCACTGTATAGGCAATATCCTGCCTCCGCTGAAAGCCCTTTTAAAAAAGTCCATCCTTGTATCTCTTACTGTCATCAAGCTCAGTCTTCTCCCGGTATATCCACTTGTTGTGCAATGTCTTCTTCATTGGTGGACTCTCATGTCTGATTTCCCTACGCTGTGACATGTGATAGATCAACAAACCTTACCTTTCTATTGTGGTCATCAATGAATGTGGCATAGTAATGAGAGCCTCCAAGAGATGTCGCTGGAGAAGGTCCTCACACATATGTGTGTACAAGATCCAATTTTTCTGTCTTTGGAGCCCTGTCACTTTTCAAGAAACTGGCATTCTTCTGCTTTCCTGTAATGCAACTCTCACACATACTGAGATCAACTGACTTCAGCTCTAGTAGCTTATCTTTGAACTGACGTTCTTTTGTGCCCCTTTGACTCATGTGTCCAAACTTGCAATGTCTCATATCTGCAGTGTTCTCTACAACTGTAGTATCAACAGTGTTGAGTAAACATATAGTCATATATAGTGTGTTGGTTTTATTACCCCGAGCTAGCACTAATACTCTTTTGATAACCTTCTAAGTGTTATCTAAGAACACTGCCGAATGACCACCCTCATTGAGTTGTCTCACATAAATGAGGTTTTTCCTCAACTTATGAATGTGTCTGACATTTTACAAAGTTCATTTGCTCTTGTTAGGGAGTGCAATATCAACGTCTCTCATCCCTACCATGTTCAGAGCTTTTCCAAGAGTCATATATACCTTCCCAAAGTCATCTGCAACATAATTCCACATTAACTCTCGGTTGGAAGATGTATGGAAAGAAGCCCCTAAATCTAGTATCTAGTCATCAACAGAGCTGTGAACTGTCAGCAATAGTGCATCATGCGCTTCTTTAGTTACAACATTAGCGTTATCATCTTCTGTCTTCTTCAGATTTTTACAGTTCCTTTTTATGTGGCCAGCTTTGCCACAATTTCAAGAGGTTGCCTGCTGACCAGGCTTTGATTTATTCTTGCCTCCGTGTTTTGATTTTGATCTTCCTCTATTTGAGTTCTTGTCATGTGATCTCCCTCTAGAATCAATATTCAGTATCAAAATCAAACCCGAGGTCTCACCAGAATCTTTCCTACGCACCTTCTCGGTCAAAATCAAATCACGAATATAATCATATTTCAGTTTTGATTTACCTACAGAATTGCTAATTGTCATCCTCATGGCTTTCCTGCTATTTGACAATGAAGCCAACAATATCAGCGCATGTTTCTCATCGTCAAAATCAATTTCGACAGAGGACATGATTTGTGATGGTATTGAAATCATTCAGATGTTGAGCAACAGACACACATTCCACCATTTTCAAGTTGAATAACTTTTTCACCATATACTTGTTTTTATTCACCAATGACTTTCTATACATACCCGATAAAGTCACCATGAGATCTGCAGTAGTGATTTCCTTGATGACGTTATGGTCAACTGATCTCGACAGAGTTAATCAAATAACCCCCAGAACTTGTCGATCCAATAGATTTCAATCAGCCTCATCCATCATCTCCGGTCGTTTTCCCAATAATGAAGAGGAAGTTTTTTCCTATAGAGGTATTCATCTATCTGCATCCTCCAGTAACCAAAATCTGTGTCATTAAACTTCTCGATTCCTAATGTCATTACTTTATCTTCGATTATCGTTCTTCCTTAGATCTGAATCCATAGTTCTGATACCAGTTGTTGTGAAAAACAACGGCAATAAAACAAAAATTTGGAACAAGAAATGCACAAAAGAGAAAACACAGTGGAACACACAGATTGACATGGTTCGACAAATTTTCTACGTCCACAGAGTTGCAGATGATTTTATTAGCTTTAGGATTACACATGTTCATCGTCTCGACGATTACAAGAAAGAGCTCTCTCTCTCTACCTTCCTCTCTCTCTCTCTCCTCCCTTCTCTCTCTACCCTCAAGCCGCACAGAGGAAGAAACAAAAAGGCAGCAGCTTGCGATTTCTTTCTTCTCTTAGGCAGGGCACCGAGCCAACACCAAAGGAGAAAGTCGTAGCATGTGATTCCTTTCCCTATAAAACCAACGCCCGAGAGAGATTACAAGGGGAGTTGTAGCATGTCTATTTATTAATTTCATCATGTTATTAGGCCAATTAAAAAATAATCAAATAATTAATGAAGCTCATTAATTATTTCATTTTTTATGCAGCAAATCATAGATGGTGGGATTCATGCAAGGGAAGTTGTATAAGATTTTAAGGCAAGAATTAAGAGCAATTAATTTCGAGTATCAAATCTAATTTGCTATCAAACATGTTAAACTGTCAATTTGAATAGTGGACCGGTTTCCGTATTCACAACAAGATCACTTTTATCTCGTTTTGCCCCATAAGATCATTGTCATATAACCGATATTGAGCTACCACTGCTACTTTTAGACCATTATCTTTGGGCTGGCATTAGGTTGCTATCATTGAAGCACTATCATCATCGCTAAATCATCATCTTCCGACATCCACTATCATGGACCATTGGCGCCCGACAATTACTATTGCTATGATACGTCATCGCCATTGTCTGATCCTCATCTCCTGATCAATGCTATGTTGGATCATCATCTCCTGATCACCATTATGCATGATCATCATTGTCTGATCGCCACCTTCATTGTTGTTGCCTATCACTATCTATCGACCACCATCTATCGACCATCGTGAATACTCCAACATGAAATTATTAGTCATAATCAAATTAAATTACAAAATTAATTTTAATTAGACTATAAATCATTATCAAGCTTGAAGATAAGGCCACGTCAGTCCATGTGCTGCTGCCATATCTTTAATTAAACGGTTCGGAGGTGCTTTCACTGTCCGATTAGTCTCATATTCACTTACATTAATAGCTCAAATTTAAATTAAACTGACCCCTACAAATTAACCAAAAATATTTATTAAAAAAACATTTTAATTTATAAATTTAAGATTCTCAGTTGTTTTTCTAATTCCATTTTTTTAAAATTTTCCATTTGTTTTATCTAGGGGTGTAAATGAGCCGAACACGAGCGAGCCTAAGCTCAACACGAGCGAGCCTAAGCTCAGCTCGTGTTCTCGAGCTCGAAAAGGGTGCTCGTGTTCAACTCGTTTGCTTAGAGCGGGCCGAACACGAGCTATTCACAAACAAAGAGTCGTTTTGACAACCCTAATCATGTAGCCATAGATGTTAAGGGTTGGAGTTTTTATTTTAAAACATTATTTGAAGCTAATTTAATAATTTTATTCTATTTTCTTAATTAATATTTTTAATTGATTATAATTCTTTGTAGCTTTGTACTCAATTAATTCTTTTTTAAATACTATTCATCAATATATATATATATATTTCTTTGATGAGTAGTATTTCGAGTATATATATTTCTAATTCCACTTTTTTAAAATTTTCTATTTGTTTTATCTAGGGGTGTAAATGAGCCAAACAAGAGCGAGCCCAAGCTCAGCTCGTGTTCGGCTCATTTATATTTCGAGCTAAAAAGGGTGTTCGTTTTCAGCTCATTTGCTTAGCAAGCCGAACACGAGTTGTTCACAAACAAAGAGTCTTTTTGACAACCCTCATCATGTAGCTATAGATGTTAAGGGTTGTGGCAAGATTTAAAAATTATTTTTTTATTTTTTATTTTAAAACATTATTTGAAGCTAATTTAATAATTTTATTCTATTTTCTTAATTAATATTTTTAATTGATTATAATTCTTTGTAGCTTTGTACTCAATTAATTCTTTTTTAAATACTATTCATCAATATATATATATATATTTCTTTGGTGAGTAGTATTTCGAGTCAAAACGAGTCGAACACGAACGACCAAATCTTTATTCGTGTTCAGCTTGTTAACTTAGCGAACGAACCTGAACACGAGCTTCTTAACAAGCCGAACACGAGCTGTTCGCGAACAACGAGCCATTTTGACAGAGCAATATTAATAATTATTTCACAATTTCAAAGTCACCCATTGTTTTATAATTTGATAAAGAATAATTAAATAAAATTGGCGGTCAGCTCATTTAATAATTACTTCATTAATAGTTGAATATTAGGAAGATTCATACCTTTTAATTCCTTAATGTATTCTAATATTTCTTTATGTGATATGAAAGATTTGATGATTTCATTTATGAGCATAAATAATAAAGTTTAAGTGTCATATAAAAGCCAAATTATCTAAAGGGCCATATAAGTATATTAATTTTTAATTAGATATTTAAACGAAGCGCCCCTATTATAAAATTGTTTAAATAATTTAAATATTAATAGATATTCACTATTATTATGAACTATTGACTATTATATTATTATTTAAATTAATAATATATATTATATATTAATATTTGCATGAAGCCACGGTCGAAAGAGGCGGCTATGGAGGCAACCTGAGGTGGCGGGCGGCAGCGGGGGGTAGCAGCGGGGGGCGGCAAAGGTGCTGGTTTTGATATGGTAGACTAGAAAATGGGATGAACAAGATGGCGGAAATGAAGCGGGATGCACTTCAAGAAGTGAAGCCTCATCCCATTTGCTGCTTTATAATAGTTTAATGAAACGGCCAATATTATAAGTAAGACTGTCAAAAAGCTCGTTGTTCGCAAACAGTTCGTGTTTGGTTGTCAATGAGTTCATGTTCGATTCGTTCGATAAGTAGACGAGACAAAGGCGAACAAATTTTTTTCGTTCGGTTAGTTAAACGAACGAAACACGAACAGTGATGCGTTCGTTCGTGTTCGAATCGTTATTGTTTGAAATATAAAATAATATAAAATAATTATATATAAAAAATTTATTATATTTTAAAACATTAAATTTTATAAATTATAATATATAATAAAATAATAATAATAATATATTAATATACTATAGTAGTAATATACTAATATAGATATTGTATATTTATATAATATAAGTTATATAATTAATATATAATATTATTTTTATATATTAATATTAGGGATGTCAAACTGGCTCGTCGTTCGCGAACAGCTCGCGTTCGGTTCGTGTTCGGCTCGTTCGTTAAGAAACAAACACGAGTTTATTTCAAACAAACTAAATTTTAAACGAACCGAACACGAACACAAGCTTTGTTCGTTCGTATTCGGTTCGTTTACACCCCTAGCCCCAAGCCTCCACCTTTTTAATTTTTCTTTTTTTGCAAATTTCCTACTCTAAATCAATATATTTACATCCACCTTTGCATAAAATGATCATATATAAATGAATAAAGAAAGGGGTATTTATGTCAATTCCCAAAATTACTAAGCCTTTATTGAAATGAGTTTATATACTCCGTATAGATCAAATGGTACAATCAATGTCTGCCTGAATCGCATAAAATAATAAATGATGCAACACAAAACATTGGTAGCACAAGATAAATTTATGAGTTTTATTGACCATATTGGGAAATAATTAATTGAGAATTTTCTTTTCAATTCATAATACGGAAGCATGGACCCATAATTAATTTCTATTTTTGCCACTGGGGCTCAACTTCCAAAATAAAGACAAAAAAATCTCATTAATTACAAATTAAAGTAAAATATTACTTAGGCTCTGCTCGTGTTCGGCTAATTTATTAAGGTAAATCATTTCATTTTCCTTCAATCAAATGTCTGATTGTTGTCTCTTTGGCGGTATGACTAAGGGCCCCAAACAGGGAGAGAGAGTAGAATAAAGAGAGTAAGAGAGGATGGGGATAGAGAGAGAATAATGTGAGATGTGAGAAAAAGAAGAGAGAGTAGGGAGAGAAGGTAGGATGAAGGAGAAGAGAGGGAGAGAAAAGTGAGAGGGACAGTCACTCTCTTTTGCACACAAGGACAAAAATAACCAAAATGTAATTTCATTAATTTATTAGAATCATCATCCATTATTGTTATTGAATAGTTAAGATTTTGATTTAAAGACGACAATCAGTAAACGAAGAGAGAATTCACAAGTACGGTGCTTTATGCAATAGTATATATTTATTTTATAACTATTAATTAGATTAGTTGAAGATTTAAATTATCTAAAGTCTAATAATAATAATAATATTTTTTATTTTTAATGTGAATAAGGGCCCCAATAAACATATAATTAATGGAATTATCTCTATTGCATTAATAAAAATTTTATTATTATTATTAGTGTTCAATAAAAATACTATTTTATGAAGTGTGTTCGTGTTCGGCTCCTTTGCTTAGCGAGCAGAACACGAGCCGTTCACGAACACACTTTTTGACAATCCTAATCACGTAGTCATAAGATATTAAAGGTTGGGGCAAGATTTAAAATATCATTTGAACCTAATTTAATAATTTGTATTCTATTTTCTTAATTAATACTTTTAATTAATCATAAATCTTTATAGTCTTGTAGTCAATTAATTTTTTTAAAAATACTACTAATAAAAAAATAAATATATATTGATTAGTAATACTTCGAGTCAAAACGAGCCGAACACGAACGAACAAATATTTGTTTCGTGTTGTTCATGTTCGGCTCGTTCAACACGAGCTTATTAACGAGCCGAACACGAGTTGTTCGCGAACAACAAGCCGTTTTGACAGCCCTATGAACAAAATACTAAAAATTTAAATGATACTAATGATGCAATGATTAGTTAAATCAAAATTTCTTCCCATAAATTAGTGACAACAAAATGTTATAAATATAAATATCAATTTTAAGTGGTAGATATATAAATATATATGAATTGTGTGGTTGTGTATGTAAATTTCTCAAAATTTAAAGCCTCCCAACTCTAGTGTCCAATTAGAATTAACAACACTTAAAACAACACTATTTTATGAAGATCAATAATAAATTACTTAGATAAAAATACTAAACAATTAAGATAGATAAAACTAATCAAGTGATGTTTTCGATGTGATGTTAAGAATTCAAGTATTATGAATGTAAAATATTAAAGTATGGGTATCAAACATGCAAATACATTAGAATTACATGGTATATATGTTAATGCTTCTAATAAAAAAAAATAGGGGCTTTTCTATATATATTATCCAACACTTTCATATTTACATATCTTGCAACTAAATTGTCATAATTACAAACATCATAAGAAAAGTAACACTCATTATTACATTTTAATAATCAAATCCGTCTTTCATCCATATGTCAAATGTTATGTGTAAAAATGAAAAATTAGGTGTGAGATGGGTAAATTCATAAGAATTGGGTGCTATGTATGTACTTTTCCCAAGGAAAATAACAAATCCAGCATTTAACAAAATACACATAAAATTGAAAAATAAATTAAAATTTAATCAAGCAACAAAACCATTTACTTAGATCAAAACTTCCATGAAGAGATTCAGCCAAGTCCCAAACAGTTAGCAATGAATCAACCTCAGGGCATGCCCCATAAACAGTTCAAGCAAAACTTGAGACCATATTGCACAGAAATGGTACTAAAAATACATTGTTCTTTTGCAAATTGCAAATTTGAACACATTGCATTCATTATCACAAAAGAAAGGTTCAGTCTTCATATCAAAAACATTTGCTTTGGAAAACTTGAAATTTGGAGCAACAGAATTCATAGCAACAGCTATTTCTAAAATCTTATTCATCCAAATTGTTATTTTTATATATCACATTCTGAAGACACCAAACTTGGTTTCTTCTGCAACAGGCTTAATGGAAGCAGACAGGCACAGACCCAAAACCTTCCTGGTATCAGCTGGATCAATGATGCCATCATCCCAAAGCCTCGACGTCGAGTAATAAGGGCTTCCTTCTCTATCATATGCTTGCACGACCGCAGCTTTGAATTTCTCCTCCTCCTCTTCGCTCCACTATATAAAACAAAACCAAATTAAATCAAAATATAAGAAAAATGTGATGTTAAATCGTGAAGGAGAGTTATAGCCAATGTGAAGCTTTAGATTTAGTCCCATATCTGAATATCTCATTATATGAGAGGATGAAGAACATAGGCTACCTTGATTCCTTGCTTTTTCTTGTTGCTTTTTTCTATCTGTGCAAGAACGCCAGCAGCCTAAAGAGGAGAGAAATTAAGGCAGTGCACAAGGTTGTGCTTCAATTGTAATAATGATTAAAAAAGTTAACCAAGCGATAAAATAATAGTGTAAAATATTTTTTTAAATGTCGTGCCACTCAATTCATATGAATTTACATATAAAAGACAAAAAAAATTGATTTTTACATTTATATCATCCAAATCTTCCATCTCACATATAAAATGTCACCATTTTTTAACTTTTAAAAAGTGAAATGAACCGGTTTCATGCATAGGGAAGGTGATATGTATGTAAAAATTGAAGTTTAGTTGTTGCATGTGTAAATATGTAGGAATTGAGCGGTGTGTATATAAATCTTCCAAAAAAACAAATGCATGATCTCAAAAAAATCAGCTTGGCACAAATAAAGTAACTTGACCTTCAAAGCACCAAATTCAAGATATAACAAACAATTTTGAACAAAAAAGATAACGAATTTTTCAAATTGCAAATTAACACACTTAAAAAGTACAAGTAGCATGAGCTGAAAACGAGCCATCGACATTCAATAAATCAGATATTTTAAAATACTTTAAAGCATAGTAGTAGTTTATGGCAAAATTGGCTTTATAAAGTTGATACCTGAGCACCACCCATAACAGATATTTTGGCAGTGGGCCAGAGAAACAAGAAATCAGGACTATAAGCACGTCCACACATTCCATAATTTCCAGCACCAAAACTTCCACCAACTATAATAGTTATCTTTGGAACCTGCAAAATGTTTAAAAGCCGGGGGGCCAAGCGAGCAGATATTGAGATGTAAATACAGACAAACACAACAGTGAATGGTGAATTAGTAATCAATGCATAAAGTCATAGCATTTTAGAGTCTGTTTCGGGCGGCTGCAATTTTTTATAAAGACAGTTATAAAGCTGTGTTTGGGAGAACAACTTCTTAGATAGCTGCATGGGAATTATAGATTTTTTTTTTCTCAAAAAATCACAACAACAATTTTTTTTTACAGCCAGCACACTAACATACTTAATTGTAAAAAGCAGCTTCCCATTACCAAAGTTTATAGAAAATAGTTAGTAAATAGTTCCCCAAATAGAACTGTGGTGGCAACACGAAACATAATGTAGATAGAAAGTTATCCAAAACAAATTTGTTTTATCATCGGTGAACAATGTAATCTAGTACAATTTACAAGATTCTTACCTAACTAAGCTAAGGACAGTAGAACTTAAGGACTGAAATCTAAGCTGTTTGTTAAAAAATCAGACTAATGGACTAGAGAAATTCTAGAAAATCGAACTAATGGACTCAAGAAATTCTAGAAAGCATCTATCAAAAGAAATTTGAAATGACTAACATCAGCTAAAAGAAAGAAAGGGACAAAGCATAACCTTAGAACAAGAGACGGCCATAACCATTTTAGCTCCTGCTTTAGCAATGCCCCCCGCCTCTGATTTGGAACCAACCTACAAATCACCACAAATATTCCTAAATGACTCGTTCAAAAAGTGCAGCAAAGAGAAACCAAAAAAAATTAAATTTATAGTTAGTGGCTGAAATGAATTTTTGGGAATATTTGTGATTGCACCAAAAGCATACCATAAATCCTGTTATATTCTGAAGAAATATAAGAGGAATGTTGCGCTGTGCACATAGCTCAATGAAATGTGATCCTTTTAAAGCAGATTCAATGAATAATATTCCATTGTTTCCTATGATTCCCACAGACTGGCCATAAATTTTAGCAAAACCTGTTACAAGTGTCTGACAAAGCAAGAAGTATAAGAGCAATAGCTTATACAATCAGAAGAAGCTAATTTCCCTAC